ATAAATTTACACACACATTGTAACTCTCAAATCATTCGATTATATTCTTTGTACTCATCAGAATCACCTTTGTAAATCTTATTCATCAATACAATCATAATTCATTCTCTAAGTTCTTAAGGGATTCAGCCCACGATTGTTTTCTCCCCAATCTTAACCTAACCTAAATTAGAAAGTGAGTTTTATCCCTCACACATACCACTGAATTATGAAATGTTTATGATATGAAAATTCAGGAGTATTCTAATCCACATCACCAAAATAGTATATAACACCAACCCCATACCAACCCTGCAATAATAAACCATATTAACTCCACCATAAACCCCTAAATACTTAACGTTAAACCATAATCACTAAATCCTAAACTCAAATATAAACCCTCAACTCTAAACTCAAATATAACCTTAAACCCAAACAACAAATGTAGATGTGGTTAACAAAATTTGTGTGAAGTTTACACTTTATGTGGATCTAGTTAACAAAATGATAAAATTGAGTTTTAAATGATTAGTTTTGATCAATATGCATAAATGGTCTCTCCATTTTACGTACACACGCTCTATTCCAATTATAAACACATTGCATCATTACAAATAAATGAGAATATATTCACTGGATGGCTCAAATCCAGTTTCGAACAATCTACTTGACAACCTAAATCTTCCATTTGTAACCTGAAAAACAAAATCAAAAGATAAAAATGTTAGGATTCTTAAAATACAAAGGTGTTAGAATCCATATAACAAAGTAAATGTAAAATAAATTGTATAGTATAACAATAATGTTGAATGGAAGCCATGTAAGACGTAAATATATGCATAGCTCACGCTCTTAAATCACACATGGGAATATATATGAATCCCTATCAAATAATCATTAAACTCTACACGGAAATATAAAATATAATATATATTTATAATATTTTTTAAATAAAATCTGAAAATAAAATTTCATATTTTATAATATTAAACTATATTGTATAAAAGTAAAATAGAATAGAGTCATGATATCTTAATAAATTATATTCCATTTACGTTTAACTATACTATTTATCTGACAAAATCATATACACACTAATATATAACTCATATACAGACTGATACAAAATTCATATCAATTAAACATGAAACAAATCAACACATAAAATATAAAATGTAGAAACTATAGTTCCAAACCAGACTAATCTTCTTTTTCAAGCATCGAATGAAATTCACCATAATAAATAGTAAATTATATATAAATAAACATGACATATAAGAAAAGTGTCAAATTTGAAAGGAAGACAATATGTTCAATTTCATAAAATAGTATAGAAATAAATCTCTTGTTCATTTTCTTCCTCGTCATCGAACTTGTAAAGCGAAAGTTACAAGTTTTCACGTTATGTTTTTACTGAATGACAAATTTCATATTGGAAAAATGGATGCAGGATACCGCAAATCGTCATTTTGACTTTAGATTTTAGAATCTGCAAATTTTTTGAATCTCTTCTCCGACAAGATTCTCATAACCGGCATGCTCCTCCAAAGTTGTATGAGGATGTATCTACAGGCTTAAAATTGCAGAAAAAGAAAGAAATTATTGCACTTCTCTAATTATTATGTGTTACAAATCTAGTAGGGTAAAAAATTTGTGATAAACAAATAGCCACGTTCACTTGCTCCAATAAATAATATCTATTATATTTTTATTTTTATTTTGCAGGTTTCACCGGTAAAAAGAAGGGCACTATTGTATTATTATATATAATACATCACATATAGGTGTGAATTAGGGAAAATGGTTAGTGAGTGAATTATAATTTTTTTTTTTTTTGTGATATAGAGTGTATTTTCCCTAAATTTTAACGGATCTTATATAAAGTAGATTATTGCAAAATAATTTTGAGCTTTTATCTTCCAACTTGCCACTTTCTCGACCCAAAGTGATTGTGACACACTTCTGTTGCTGAAATCAACAAGTAACATGAAGCTTGACAACATGATTTCTTATCCAACAACCCATGATTGTTCAAACTTAAAAGCTCGACTTCTATGGTTATTCACTACTTCAAAACAAAATAGAATAGAGTTATACGATTCTTCATATGAATCCATAAAAGTTTCGATAAAATAAAACATGTAACGGGTATCACGTGTCCAAAAGCAGTGTCACCGCATTTTTAAGTGCATCGATTAAACTAGGGGTCAATTATTTATTTCATGGTATTTTCCTTTTGTCATCCTTTTAAGATTTTTTGGGATTATATTTAACTTTTGTAAATTAAAATACATTCAAATCTCGAAGGATGACACTGAATTTTATTGGAATTGGCTATTCCAAGTACAACGCACCGGGATCGCCAAATGGATCTCTAACCATGTGGTATTCAATAATTAGCCACTTTTAATGTAATTATCCAAATATGTTTTCCTACAAAAAGTCAAGTGAAGGTGACGCAAGCTTCATACAATTGTTGTTCGTTAAATCATTGTAGCGAAGGCGACAAAAACATGTAACGAGGATACATATAATCTTTATCCATTCACACAAAAACAAATGCCGTGACCTTTATATCTCTTCTTCCTTTTTTTTCTTCTTATTTTACGTTGCTTTGATGAGCTCTTTCTTATCTGCTTAAGAAATACTCTCGCTAATCATGACTTTGTTACTTATGGAGGAAGAACGTAGCAACAGATGGAGTTAAAAGTTATTGTTAAAACTACCATTATATTCTCGATCGTACTCAAAAGATCGAACTTATTTTGATAACTTGAAAATCTTGACACGATGCTGAGGTCACTATCCGACCTCTCTAAAGATTTTTGATGAGTTATGATTTCATTTGGAACCTTAATAAATCAGCTTAAATGACGTACAAAAGTAAATCTTAGTTTCGTCAACTGAAACCTCACATATGTTTTTTAAAATATTTATAACCATATAGCATTTTCTTTTCATGTAGATAAACAAAGGATTACATCGTTATCCACTTACGAGCAAGGCTTTTTCCTCGCAAGAATGTCTAGTTGCTTTTAGCCTTTGTAAATTATTCTTTATAACTATGGTTCGGCGCATATACCACTATAAGATTCCGTCTATCGCATCTTCTGATCCATGTTATGTTATTATTGGTCACATTCAAAATTTTTAAACTAAAAGCGTATGGACAATCACGTTACTTAGAGAGAGAGACAAATAATAATGCCTCTCTTCCCATCAGATAAGCACACAAATAAAAGAATAAGAATATAAAATATGGTAGACAAGGTTGATCAACGCTTAACTTGGAGCTTATCTTCTCGATAAGATAATTCGCCGTGATATATATATTCGGGGTTTTTTGAAGTAGGATGCATGGTTGTGTTGACCTAATCCATGCAAAGTTATAAGATGAACCTCATTCACTCCTCCTAATCCGACCCGGATCGCCCAGGTACAAAAGGAATATGTATACACACTAATCAGATTGTGTATGTTAGTACACATAAAATAATTTTAAAACACCACAACAAGAAGAAAAAAAAACAGAGTGGTTTCTCGATTGGAAAATTGTAGGATGTGCTTTGTTTTTCAAGGTTAGATCATCTCCAGTGAAAAGTTTTTATGACGGGGTTTTATTGGAATATATATATATATATATAAACATGTTTTTTTTTTATTTTTAACTAAAATAATAAAGAAACTAAATAAAGAAATCAATTTTTAGTAATACATTTAAAAACCGGTTCCTAGATTTTTTAGTTAAAAGTTAAAAGATGAGTTCTTATATTCCACTAAAAATTCTGCCTTAAAAATTTTTCATTGGAGATGCTCCGATTTCGACATGTAGGATGTGATTGTGTATGCTTCTTTTTTTTGTTTTAATTGCTACTTAAAGATGAACATACATACAATTTAAGCAAAAAAAACATGAGCATACAATAAGTACATAATATATATACAGAGAGCATATATCATAATAATTGTTATTAGAAAAAAAAATCAGTTAAACATATTGTTTTTTTAAGAAATATGAACAGGACAAAAAAGTTTTGGCGTATTCTTTTCTCGGATTCCACTTGCGTCGGTGGCTGTCACTGACTCACACTCATCATCGAATGATGTTGATGATATTAAATTACTATAACCGACGTTATTGCATATATTTTGTGCATATTGAAATTTGAAAACCCTAATCAACCCGGTACCGGTCCTGACAAACCCAACAATTGTTTAAAACTAAGTTTACCATACATTTATTCTAAAATTTAATTTATTTGATACCCAAAAATGTAGTTATTTGGTTATTGATTTGTGTTATAAAGCTGTTTCAGACTGAAATTATTCGAGTTTCTATAAATATTTAGACTGAAAAACCCAGAGAAATATAGAAGAAATAGTAAATATCACCTGATTCAGTTTAACAATGGTTGACAAAAAAAAAGACTCAGTTTATCAATGTATTAAAACATTTCTTGATATGTGGAATATAACATGACATTTCGTTATCCCATAGCATGCTATATATATGAAAACAAAATCACCAAACTTGTCCAGTTATGAGAATGATGTGAACCATAAATGCGTGTATGTATGTGTACGACATCTATATATATCTTTTGAAAAGAAAAAAAACATCTTTTGAACCTTCTAATTTCTTAATTGTGAAAATATATTGCGGTAAAAAGATGAGATTTGAAACTTGAAACCTAATTAGATATAGGAGACATATTTTTGCATTCTTGAACTTTCCAGAAATTTATACAGGAAGATTTTTGTTTAGTTTTTGTATATACATGCATGAAGCATTAATTCCTTATTAGCAAAAAAAAAATAAAGTAAGAATGATTTTTTTTTTCCCTAAAGAGTTTAAAAGAAAAGAAAATATTAAAAGGCAAGGAAAGGGTATATAAAAGAGAAAACTTTAATTTGTGGATTATATTGCTTATATCATCTTTAACGTAAAAAAAAAAAACTATTTCGAGGAAGAATGATTTCTAATTTTCCAATGGACTTCAGTGAATATGAGTGGAACGGAATGAATGAAAATTACCATACCAAAAACTATTTCGAAAATCTGTAAATTATAAATAAACCAACGCTACGAAATTATGTCATCTAAGTATTTATTAATTCTACTGGAAACAGGGGAAGATAATTGTACATAAACATGAAATTCACTAACCTTACTAGTCTACTAATTAAGTTCAGAATCTAAAACTTAACCAGACTCGAGAAGAATATTACAAAACCCTAAAGAAGGTTAAAAAGAGAGTTAACTAGCTCTCTGAATGAAAACGGTTTCGAGGTCTGGTGGACAGAAGAACTCTCTACCACTGGCAACGTAGCTGCACTTGGACGACGGCTTCCGCTTCTTTGGTGCGGCTGGGCACGGCGGGACTCTTGGGATTCTGAAGGCAACTGCTGTGGGTGTTGTAGGACACTGTTCTTGATCCTCTGTTTCCGTAACTGCAACGTCAGAGGAGTTAATAGGCTTGAGCGGTGAACGTGGAGGAAGTCCGGCGATGACCCATCTTTTACCGTCGGTGGCTTCACGTATCTCGACTTCGAGTTGGTTGTAAGATTTGCCGGAAAATCCCATGAGTTCTTTGGATGTGGATTAATAAAAAATAATCAAAGGTTTGCTTTGGTTTTTGGGAATCTTTAGGGATTGGTTTTTGTGTTGAATGAGACTTTTTGCTCTCTCTTTCTAACTTTGGTGGCGAATGTGAAGTGGAAGGGGACAGGCCGGTTATATAGTCAACAGGGATATTGAATGCATCAATCAGATCGGTGTCGATTCAGTTCGGTAATTTTCCTCTTCTTCTGACTTAAATATTTTGAAAATGTTTGTTTTTTTATATTTCAAATTTAATGCTTGCACATACAAAATGTTTTTTTTTAACTGAAAAAACCTCACATACAAAATGTTAACTATAGAAAGAGAATGATATTGAGTGTGTACTTTTAAAAATTATTTTATATTCGTGTCTGAGAACAGAGTGGAAAGTGGAGGGAATAAAGGGAGATGAGTGGTAACTATTCATAACTTTCAAATTTAAACTTTCCAATTAAATATATCACGGAAGTTGTGGAAAGAAAAAGTTTTTTCATGGATGTAATGAAACACTAATTTCACTTGTGGTAGATATATATAAATAAATATATATATATATATATATTAATATTATGAACTAGAATAAAATATGAGTTTTAGCAGTTTTACCAAAAAACTTTAAAATATGTTGAAGTAGTACTCCCACCATTCTCAAAAGAAGGCAAATCCTAGAGTGTTTACAAATATTAAAAATGCATTCAAAATTTACAATTAAATTTATTATTTTTATTTCTTTTTATTTTGTCTAATAACTATCAACCATTATTATTTAATCATTTAAATATATCCAATTAATGTTTTTTAAAAGTATACAAAATCTTACTATATATATTTATCTTAAATATATACAATAAACTTATCCAATTAATGTTTTTTAAAAGTATACACTAAACACAATTATCTTAAATATATAGAAAATTTATCTTTGTGAAACAGAAAAAAAAAATCTAGAAAATCTTACTTTGGAGAACGGAGATGCTTTTAGGACAGAGTGACAAAATATGAACTTAAGTTGTATTGTCATATGAATCCAAGTTCGTATAAAACAAAATTCTATACATATGTACATACATCTACGAATGTGGACGCAACAAAAAAAGTGGAAGCACATGCTTTTATTGGTGTAAGTCTTTTCCCCCAACTCATATGAACGAAAAATATACACTGAAAATATAAGAAAGATTGATGTAATTAATATGTGTTAACCAAATATATATTTTTAAAAATGTACTTATATATGAATTGATAATCCAGTTATCAGGATCTACAACTTGTGCGTAATGCGCATATGATCCATATATCATACATATTGATGGGTGGGTATTTGTCTCCACCAACTTGTCGACGATTGTCATAACTATATATATATGTGTGTGAGTCTGTGACATATGTCAAGTACGTAGGTTAGTGTGTTTACTGTTTCTTTGTGGATACATGCACGTCGGTGTGTCTAGGTTTGCGTATAGAACTGTCTGCCAAATCATCGTTGACATAGCCTATAACAAAAATAAAAAAGTTGTGTTTGTGTCATGAATTTTGTGTCTACAATTTTCATATTTTATGTCGAACCAACGACTACATTAATAATCTTAGTAACAAAGAGTTTAAGTAAAAGTTCAGAAAAGAAACAAGGTGTGTTCTGCAGGATAGTTTCAAAAGGAATTTCGATTTGATGAGTATTGTGATGGAGAGAAGAGTTCATATGGAAAAGGGAGACAGAGAGACCGTGACACCTGACTAAAATGAGTAAAACAGAAAATACAAAAATGAGTTGTAAATGAGAATAGGGAATCCGAGGAAACGCGTGACCTAAGCTATGCAAATTCAAACCTAACACATATTTAATGTTTTACCATTGTTATAAATAATGATTTTTCTATAGTGGTATATTAAATGTATCTTGTAGAATATGCAACTAATAAATGGAAAAGAGTCGTTGAGATTCAGAATTTTTCAGTTTACATAGCCCACAATCGTTCAGTTGACGGTCGTATGTTTGACTTTCTAACAAAATCAGTGGTAAAATGCTTTTCGAGGGCTTGGAAGCTTGGACTCTAAAGTTAATGCACCAAAGAAAATTTGTTTGTTGAGATATCAGAATAATTCGACTATTCGTTTTTGTCAGTGTTTTGGAGGTATCTTAGTATATTCCAAATGTTTTAGCAGACTAATGAAGAATACTGTTGGTAGTTTGACGCTACTTCTATTCAACTAACACATTTTTTATGCATAAATCTATTTCAGGCGCGTGTACCTTCCCAAGTTTATTGTGCATCCTCTTCCTCCTAAACCGGTTAACAACCAAAATCATTTGATTTCGGTTTGATAGGGTAAAGATCAAGTTGGAGAAATCCTGAACCTACCTGTAATTTGAAGTGTGGGAGAAAATTAAACTCAAACCGGTGGTTAGGTAAAATTTATCTGTTCAGACCCGAAAAAAAATTCCAACATCGTCACGTGTCTCATTTGACAGGTAGGGGCATATGTGTCAATTTGCAAACACTTCGCCACATGTCATATTCTTTTTTAAAGCGCAAAAATTATAATTATAATTTTGAAGATATCCGCCGAAAACTTCGTATTTTTTGACCCTTCGTGTTCGGAAATGGCGGCTATTTCTCCGGCGACTGCAACAACCGCTGCTTCTCTATCTCTGCCTCAGTTCACCTCCTCTCCATCGTCTCCTTCTTATCTGAATTTCAAAACTGCTACATTCGGTAATCGCTGCGTAAAGTGTGGAGTGAGAAGCTTAGAGAATCAGTCTGGTCACCGGAGCCTCGATTTCTTGTCCAATGGGGATCCGATCAGTTTAATTAACCCGAATTCGTCGTCTTCTCCGATATCAATGGCTGCGGCTGCGTCGGAATCCGGTTCGAAATGCTCGAAGCGTGTGTGTCTCTTCCACAGCGATGAGACTAGAGATCTCGCCGAGAGGATCGTCGCGCAATCGGATTGTATCGAGCTTCGAAGCATCAATTGGAAGTAATAAAACCTCTCATTTATCTCCTCTCTCTTTATATCCGAATCATTCTATTGGTTGATTTCATTTTCGTTGGTTTGGTTTTAGAAAAAGGATAGCTTTGACTTTTTGTCTTGGTTCTTACACTTGTTTTTGAACGGCAATTTCATTAAAAAGAAAGTGTTTAACTTTCAGGGTTCTTACACTCTTTGTGGTTTTGGTTAATGATCTTATATATCTCTAATCGATCACTAATATACTTTTAAAAAAAAAATAAAGTAACTTTTTTTGGGCAAAAGAAAGTAACTTTTTTTTTTGGCAAAAGAAAGTAACTTTTTTTTGGGCAACTAGATTGGAAAATAGAGTGATAATAAAGTGATAGAACAAAAAATAAATGAATTACTCTATTACAAGTGAAAAATGGAATATGATTGAAGCTCTTTTACCCAAATTCTTTTTTAGAGTAAAATAGAGCGGGGTTGGAGACTTGGAGATTATTTTAGCGTAAAATAGAGTTGGATGGGGTTGGAGATGCTCTTACTTATTTTAAATCACCCTTAGTGAATCTTCTAATAAGCTGAGGAGAATTTGGTTTAATGTAATCAGTAATCACAGATAATTGTGTTCTTGTTAAACAAGTATTCACAATCGTTTTCTATTGTTGTAGGAAATTTGATGATGGATTCCCTAATCTGTTCATACAAAATGCTCAAGGCATTCGTGGGCAGCACGTTGCCTTCTTGGCTTCGTTCAGTTCACCGGCTGTGATCTTTGAACAGCTCTCTGTTATTTATGCTCTTCCCAAGCTTTTTGTTTCGTCGTTTACACTTGTTCTTCCATTCTTCCCCACTGGAACTTCTGAGAGAATGGAGGACGAAGGTGACGTGGCGACTGCTTTCACTCTCGCTAGGATACTCTCGAACATACCGGCTTCGAGAGGAGGACCGACTAGCTTAGTGACCTTCGATATACATGCCTTGCAGGTTTTCATTACAACTCTGATCAATGCTGATGAGTCTTCTGTTTTTGTTCTCTGAGTGTTGTATCTTCGATTTTTACATGTCTTTGTTTGGATTGTAGGAAAGATTCTACTTTGGTGATACTATACTTCCATGCTTTGAAAGTGGTATACCTTTGCTCAAGAACAGACTCCAGGCACTACCTGATTCTGATAACGTAAGCCTCTTTACATTCTAGCTGTTACATTTCTATCAGTTTTGAAGTTTAAAAGACATTTTTTCTTCTTTATGTAAACTCGTTATAGATTAGAGTTACGTTCAAGACTCAGTCATGATGGTTTACTAATATTCATTGTTTCAGATATCAATTGCATTCCCGGATGATGGAGCATGGAAACGTTTCCACAAACAACTTCAACATTATCCAACGGTATCATACTTTCGAATGGCTAATCTCATTATCGTCTTACATCTTACGTTGAACCCATGTGGTCTGTTTAGTATATAGTAACCTGTGTTAGCATCAGGATTTCTTCACGGCCACATTAAATATAACTCCACTGCATCATCGTATCTTGAGTAGAAAATCTGTATATTATGATCTGTTAGACTTGCGTAGTAATCCACTGTGTCAATCAGATTGTATGCAACAAAGTTAGAATGGGAGACAAACGAATAGTTCGTATCAAAGAGGGAGACGCTGAAGGGAGACACGTCGTGATTGTGGATGATTTGGTTCAGTCGGGTGGCACGTTAATCGAATGCCAGGTCTGTACTCACATTCAACTCTCAAAAGTACTAACCTCAATCTCACCACTAATTCTTGTTCCCTTTCAGAAAGTCTTAGCTGCACATGGAGCAGCAAAGATAAGCGCATATGTAACACACGGCATATTCCCTAAGAGTTCATGGAAACGTTTCAAGCTCGACACCAAAGGTTACAACCATTATACAAAAAATGTTATGATATCATCCAAACCGAGTCATAATAAAAATCTTTATGTCTTTTTGTGTTTGCAGGTGATCCAGCGGAAGGTTTTAGCTATTTCTGGATCACAGACTCATGTGGATTGACAGTGAAAGAGGTGATGAATAAACCTCCCTTTGAAGTTCTGAGCCTCGCAGGTTCCATAGCTTCGGCTCTTCAAGTTTAAGCTTCTGTGGTTCGAGTAGACAAATCCAGCGGGAAATAATTTTTGGGTTTGTGACAATCTGATTTTATGAGCTTTGATGTATAGTTTCGTTTGAAACATTTGCCATTCCAGAGGTTGTTTTATTTTTTATGTAGGAAAATCCAATAATGTAATGATGATTCATTGAGAATAAACGTAATTTAATTTTCTGGATATCAAATTCATTCATTCATTGTTGACAAAAAAAAAGGATATCAGATTCATTTAAAAAATATTTTTAACACAAAAGGAAAAGAGATAAAGTTTTCAGATAGAATTTCTATCTAATTCCATTTAGCAAGAAAATTATCTGGAAGAAAAAGATGCTTGCAGTGATCAAGAAGAAGAGGAACAAGAAGAAGAAGAGATGGATGATGTTGCAGTAAACGACGAAGTGCTAGCATTTGCGAGGAACATAGCAATGCATCCAGAAACTTGGTTAGATTTTCCTCTCGACCCCGAAGAAGATCTTGATGGTAAACCTACACTGGACTCAATGTTAACATCAGTACTTGTGTATTTTTTTTAAAAATGATTTGTATCTTCTTTCTTGTAGATTTGGAAATGTCTGATGCTCAAAGAGGTCATGCTTTAGCTATAGAACGTCTTGCTCCGAGGTTAGCTGCACTGAGAATAGAACTCTGTCCATGCCATATGACTGTTGGTTACTTCTGCAACTTTGTTCTTCTCCTTTCAAGGCTCAATAAACACGATGCTCAGCTTCTGTCTTCCCCACAGGTAAACCTTTACTCAATTGCAAAACATGAGTGTTGTTGTTGTTACTCAATAAAACCCTTTGTTGTTTTGATTCCAGGTGATGGAAGCAAGAGCATTGTGGATGAAGGAGCTTCAGAATCAAAACAATTCCACAAAAACAGGTTGTGGAGATACTGAGATTAATCCATCAACTTCGAATTACTACCATCATACTCCTCCTGAGTTTCTTTCTCCAAGAATATATATGCCTTTGAACCTCCTTCAATCATCTATCCCGATTTCCAAAAGCCAGAGATCACTGGTCTGAAAATGTGCAGTTCATCCATAGAGCTGTTATGGAGGAAAAACCAATCCAAAAAATTGACAAAAATAGTCGAAGCCTAAGCCCAACACTCAAAGATGATGATGATTGGCCAGAGGAGGAAAATTGTGGATATAAGTGGACTCCAATGTTCACAGTGAATCAGGATGATGTTTCTTTCAGTGATCTCGAAGGTGACGACGATATTAGTAGCTTAACACTCAACTCTAAGAGTACCTCAAATGGCACATACCCAAAACGAACATGAAACATCATCTCGGTTGATAAAGAAGCTGACTTATTGCTTTGCCCTGCCTCGAGATCGAATCTCAATGGAACTGAACATAAGGATTTTACTGCCTTGAGTTGAGGACAATAAAAAGAAACAAATTGCATTTTTTAACTGCTTGTATTTTTTACGTTTATCATATTACAAATCTAGGATTGTCCCACGGAGGCTGCAAAAACGACGCCGTTTCGATGGAATCTAAAGACAATGTTTTTCCAATAGAGTAAAAAAAAACACCATCAGTAATGGGAATCTGAATCGAGAGCAAATCGTCAGATCGTGAATAAAAAAGACTTTCTATCGAAACTAGCCAAAGCTGCAGCATCACGACGATGATGATGATCTAAGCTCATTCCTCTCTTTGATCCTTCCACCTCCTCCTGTGAACATACAGATCTCGTCTTTTCCGTTTGATCGGATCTGATTCGAAATCGCAACAACAATCCCTAGAGAAACAACATGGCAGGGGCGGCCTCCGCGCTGTTTCTGCTCGACATCAAAGGCCGTGTCCTCGTCTGGCGCGATTACCGTGGCGACGTCACCGCTGCTCAAGCCGAGCGTTTCTTCACCAAACTCATCGAGAAAGAGGTCCCTATCTTCGATCTCTATATCTCGTGTGTCCTGCTAATAATAACTATTAAGATTTCTCGTGAATAGATTAGAATTTGAATCAGTAATCAATACATTTCTACTTCTCCTTTTGCTTGATGAGTTTGCCTATGTTCATAGATTAGAATTCGAGTCAGTAATCAATGCAATTTTATACTTCTCATCGGTGAGTTTTGCTTGTGTTGGTGTAATCTTTGCAGGGAGATTCGGAGTCTAATGAACCGGTTGTATACGATAATGGAGTGACCTACATGTTTGTACAGCATAGTAACGTTTACCTCATGATAGCTTCTAGGCAGAACTGTAATGCTGCGAGCCTTCTCTTCTTCCTCCATCGCGTTATCGATGTAGCCACCCCTTTGATCTTCTGTTTCACTACTGTTTCACTACTGTTTCTAATAATAACCGATCATTTAAGTGTTTTTTTTTGTATACTGAGTTTAGGTCTTCAAGCATTACTTTGAGGAGCTGGAGGAAGAGTCATTGAGGGATAACTTTGTGGTTGTGGTATGTTTACTGCATCTATTATAGTACTTCTTCAACGCTAGATGTTACTTCTTCTCTTGATGAATATATGTGGGTGAGGAAAACAAATATTAGATGCTGAAATTGACTTTTGTTGCTGGCAGTATGAGTTACTTGACGAGATGATGGACTTTGGTTACCCTCAGTATACTGAAGCGAGGATCCTTAGTGAGTTCATCAAGACTGATGCTTATAGGATGGAAGTTACGCAGAGACCTCCAATGGCTGTCACTAATGCTGTTTCTTGGAGGAGTGAGGGGTTACAGTTTAAGAAAAACGAAGTGGGTGCTTTTTAGTTTACAAGCAGGAAACATTTGGTTTAGGTCCCCAAATGTTCACACAGTGATGGTTTGTTTTTCAGGTTTTCTTGGACGTGGTAGAGAGTGTAAATATCCTTGTGAACAGTAATGGGCAGATTGTGAGGTCTGATGTCGTTGGAGCATTGAAGATGCGAACATATCTGAGGTGCGTTTTCTACTGTTCTATATCATCCAAAGCATGTTAGATCAACAATTCACCCCTCTTTGACTCTCTTCCTTTTAATCCATGGGTTTTACAGTGGAATGCCAGAGTGTAAGCTAGGTTTGAATGATAGAGTACTGTTGGAAGCACAGGGAAGAGCAACAAAAGGAAAAGCTATTGATTTGGAGGACATCAAATTTCATCAGTAAGTTTATCCGGATCACTGTTTTTGTATTTTACTCAAGAAAATATACTATACTTGAGTTTTACATGTGTCTTTCTTCAAAGTACAGGTGTGTTCGATTGGCCCGTTTTGAGAACGATAGGACAATATCTTTCATACCACCTGATGGGGCTTTTGATTTAATGACATATAGACTCAGTACCCAGGTTTGAAATGTGGACTATTGCACGGATGATTTTTTTTTTCCTCTTCTTAAACAAACATGAAATTTTCTTTCTTTTTGACATTATACTTTATTCAGGTCAAGCCTCTTATATGGGTCGAAGCTCAGATAGAGAGGCATTCCAGGAGTCGTGTTGAGATGTTAGTCAAAGCTAGAAGCCAGTTCAAGGAAAGAAGGTAACTAGTAATCCTTGTTTGACTTTGTTTGATTTTGCCTTTTACCATAAAACAATTCAAGTAGAGTTGCTTATTTTGTAGCACTGCAACAAATGTTGAGATTGAGTTGCCTGTACCAACTGATGCATCCAACCCCACCGTAAGAACATCTCTAGGGTCTGCCGCATATGCTCCCGAAAAAGATGCATTGGTTTGGAAAATCAAATCTTTCCCTGGGAACAAGGTAAGAGCGTATAAAAAATTTTAACGCAAGAACTGAGCATATAATTTGGAATGCTTTGACAATAAGTTTTGAAACTATGTAGGAATATATGTTGAGGGCAGAGTTCCATCTCCCAAGCATAACCGCAGAGGAAGCCACACCTGAGCGAAAAGCTCCTATCCGAGTCAAATTCGAGATCCCATATTTCACTGTTTCAGGAATACAGGTTAGTTTCTATGTATATATATATCGGGTAGTTTCTATGTTTCTGCACTTAAAACTGAAGAGTCCTGATGCGTGTAAATTATGGGTATTGCAGGTTCGGTACCTGAAGGTGATTGAGAAGAGTGGGTACCAAGCACTTCCGTGGGTGAGATATATAACCATGGCTGGTGAGTACGAACTCAGACTCATGTAACATGAGATTTGTGTTGTTGTTTCTTTTGTTTTTATTTAAAGCCATTTGTCAACGAAAGAAAGCAGTGGAAGATGGAAGAAAAAGGAAAAAAAAATTTTAGCTGATAAATTTTTACGGTGAAGGTTGTTTTAGCAGCCCATATTTCTTGTGAATTGTTTCATGGTGTTTCTCTTTTATGTTTTCTGTAAGCTTTTAATGACACCTTTTAATCTTTGTTAAAATTGTTAAACAACGAGCATTTTTCTAATCGCCACTCTGTATGTGTTCTTTCTGATATTTTTCCTGTGGGTCCTTGCGCAAACAATTGTGTCGTGCAAGTAAAATTAGGAGATTCAAAATAGTGATGCGCAACCGTTTTTTGTTAGTATAAACTTTCTTCTTTTACGGTGTTCAAAAAAAAAAAAAACTTTCTTCTTTTACGACCAACCAAAGATACTGCAAAACGGTCAAAATAGTTTTGTGAATTTCAAGACTTGAAGGCAAAAAACCAATACAATAAAGTCACCAGAGTTTGAATCTTAGCCATTGAGGAATCATATGATCAAAGCTTAGATCCGGATTCGAATCCCGCTGAACACTGGGGATAAAATTTTAAATCTGAGTTCTCCTATCGTTTGGTGGTCGAAGCATTCTTCGACCGATAACATAGGTTAATACAGCCATTCGCCGCTAGTATAAATTCACCTTAGTAGGTGTCAGAATACACCGAAGTATTCAAAAAAAAAATCAAGATTTTTTCAGGCATATTTTTTGAGGGTGTAAAGTGTTAACCTTGGATGAGTGTGGTCTAAACAAAATTTCGCAATCCTGGAAATCTAGAGCTGTTGACTAAACTAAATGGTAAGTAATCGAAAGTTTTTCTGGAAGTCAAACTATAAACTTATTACATCCTTATCAATTCTCTCATAAAAGGAAATGAAGAATTCAATCATCCTTACAAATTGCATAACATGAATTACTTGATATTAGCACGTTGACCAGAATCAAGAGATATTATTGCCAATTGTTTTCTTACCTAATAAAATTATTCTCAATTCATTTCTTTTACTATATACTCCACATACATTGTATTGACAATGACAATTACTCAATCATAAAACAAAAAGAATCACAACAGAGTATTTTGTGACAGTCTAACCATGAAATCATCACAAATAGCTCTAGCCTGCATCGTCATGCTCCCCCTTTTCGCTCTGCATCAGTGTGCGTATGGGTTTCTTCAAATAATAATATACACATATATAAAATGTCTCTTTGATTTTTTTATCCTTCTTGTGTGTTCAAATTGATATGTAGGTGTGAGTATGGATGTTCAAGAGGTGGAGAAATCAAACTATGGAATCAATGTACCGACGTGTTATCATGGCCCATGCCATGCTCTGGTACCTAATTGTTGGTGTTGCGAACATTTGCATCACTGTTGGTCAGGAAATACCGGCCAAAGTTATTGCAACGAACAATGTCAACTACAAGCATAATTATCACATGTTTTTAGTAATTTTATTGTAAAGAAAAATAGAATGTACGAGAATTGTTTTTCTAATAATAACTTTGGGAAAGTTGAGATACATTCTCTTTTTATTAGTTTTATTTTAAAATTTAGTGACAAAATTTAATTATATATGTTAAATACTTTTCTGAGAGTATTTACCAATAATGATGTCAACCTTTGATAAATCTATTCAGTTTCAAACTTCTCCAAGCAGTATACATAGAGTGACTAAGCAAAATCTAACTACTAAATGAGAATACACACTTCTTTCTGTTAGAATAAAATAAGTTTGCTGGCAAACTATTTCACTGAAAGAGACGAATAAATCATGCCTCATGTGATTTGTTTTTGCTCAATTTCGAACTTTTCATCAGCCAACAATTTCATATAACGTATACCTCAATTCCTCATCAAGATGAGGTTTAACCAAACTTGGCACCACAGATACAATTTAGAGGTATTATTCTCAAAAGAAATAAGTTCCCTTGCAACTTTATCTGACATTAGGTTCCCTTCTCGCCAAATGAAAACTACCATATGATGTTCGATCTTTAATGTCTTGACTCTTGAGTAAGCATTAAGCACGGGAGATATAACATAACTAGATTCTGATCCGCACATTCGTGCGAATATTATTTATTTTATAAATATATAGCTAAAGTTTTTAAATATATAATTTATATTTTATTTTCAATTAAAGTTAATTTACAATTATATTTAATAACGAAATAAAGAAATACTTATTTTATATAAAAATATTTAAATTTTTTGGTAAGATATTGTTAGATTTTTTCAACAGATTTTGTCATATTTAAATAGATTTATTATTAATATCTTTGTTAATTATTAAGATATTTTGAAAATAGTATATATTTGATTGGTTAAGTAACAATCAAATATGTCATATTAAATAACTAATGACATAATTCAACATAACTTTTAAATAGTAGATAAATTTGGTACTTCTCATTTAATAGAGAAAGATATATTCTTCTGCCCCATGTGTTTTCGAATGTGTCATGCAGTATGTATACATGTTTTTCTTAGTAAAATTTATGTATTTTGATTTGTTGAATCGAAGTTTTGGGACTATGTCAAGTACACCAAAATATGTTTAGACGTCAGTTTTATAATAGTAAAATAATACGTCTAACGATGGATCATATATCATCATATATTGTTTCGACTTTTTTTCGTCTATGAATTGCATTAAACGAAAGTTGAAAGTACAATTGTTACAAACCGTACGGGCAAGACAACCATACTGATAAAACAACAACACCACAGAGAATAATATAACTAAAGATATAAAAAGTAGAGCACAATCTTCAATCAAAAGATTTCCAAGCTCCACGCAGACGTCAACCGAAACAAGCACGGATTAAGAAACATAAGAATCAAACAAGGACTTGAAGAAACCACAACCATTTAGGCGTAACCACGGATTAACATAGAATTCTCCTTTTGTTTTGTTTCCATTGTATTTAGGGATATTTATTTATAAAAATCTTATTAAAAAAAAAATAATATTAAGCTGAATAGAATTTACTATGTTATTACATTAAACCGTGTTACATATGTTGGTCAGAAGAGAAAAAGTTTGGGGAGACTGGAGAGAAAGTGTTTCCAAACCGCGATACTTTAGCATGGAAAATTTTGTGTTTTTTTCTTTCTTTTATACTCTATGTTATTTTTTGTTCTCTTTCTTTTTATTTAACATTTTACTATCTATTGACTATTAGAGAAACATAGAGGACTCACAAATTCCTTATGTTTTACTGTTGATTCTCGAAGTTCTTCTATTTTTTTTCTATTTGCCCATCTTCCATATATGTTTTCTTATGTAAGCTACTCTGTAATCTATTTTCATAAATATATCTCGAGTATAAGGTATTAACCGCCTTGCTGATATAATGCTCCGGATGAATGAATTTTCTGAAAACTATCGTACCGTTAAAATTAACATAAGAGAAAAAAAAATCTATTAGCAATTAATTACATGAGATAAATATAATTAGTTATTACCCAGTGGCGTTTACACAACAAATGATGATCAACAAACAACATAACAAAGAAAAAACTTTTTTATTAGTTAAGTTTTTTTTTATCTTCTTCATTTAGAAGAAAATTTAATATATTTTTTTTTTTTTGTTTTGAGAAATAAGCAAATGTGTATTTGTTATTTGGATCATCTAATCAATGTAGACAACGTTAAGCAATTGGTGCCGATTTTTCTCAAATCAACCGCTGCATTTTGAACCGTATTAACCTGACCCTTGTCAATAAACCCTTCAACACATACACCGTAATCAGACACAGCCGCAGTTAAAAACGTGTTCATCGTCATCACATCACGTTTCCTTATACTCTTCCTCGCGTTTCCCAAATTATAAAGCGCGTCGGTAAGCGTTTCGTAACATGTCGTGATCTCTTGGTTACCGCTTTTGTACCTGGCCGCTTCAGTTAGAGCTAGTCTTGTCTTAGCCTCCAAAGCCTGTATGGTTTTGTGCGTGGCACGTCTTGGGTTTGTGACACGTTTCACCAAAGGCCGGCACAGAGATGGATACGCGGTGTGGGAGCATAGGTTCAACATACGTGATGCCTCCGTGACTTGGCTAGAAAGGAGAAAGATCAATACGGCGGCGGATGCCACGACAGCCGCTAAACGCAGCTGGAAAATGTCGCGACCCGCCATTTTATTAATGTGATTTAAACCTTTTTAGTTGAATTGAGAAAAATTAGCCAAGACAATTTTTTTTGTGTCGGGATTATTGTTGTTTATATAGAAAAGTTTTTTCTTTTGGTCTTGAAAATTGTTGGTCGTCCGCGTTTTGCGTTTATTCCGTTTTTATTTTGTAGTTTTTACAATTGTAAACGTAATCTAAGGTTTGTCTTGTTTTAAAGAGATTATCTTCTTAATCTTTCTTTTTAAAATATAGAATCATATCTCTTTGATACGAAATGGGCTAGTTTATACCAGTGTTTCCACGCCCGAGTCGGATCCGCGCTCCGACCGCTAAACCCTGTGACTCGATAAGTAATCCGGTTTGGGTTTTAAGAAATATCCACTAATTAAAAATCCGATAAAATCCGCTAAAAACCCTTATATTCGGTAACTCGACTATCGGTTAAACCATCGGAAAAACCAATGAGTTATATTTATATAGTTTTTGTTAGGTTATTAACTATTTTCTTAAAGAAAAATGTATGTACCCAAAATAAAAAGTTAGATTTTTACTATTAATTTTTAGTTTTCTTATAAAATTATTGTTTTCGTACTATCACATATATTCTAAATCTCTTTCAATTTTTTTTTTAATTTTTTTGTTGATTTCATATGTGGTGAATAACATTTGAATTTAATTTCTAAGTTCTAACTGTTATCATATAAAATTCATTTTTATTCTAATTACAAGCTTTTATTTTTATTTTTTTATTTTACATGTTATAGATAAATAGTTTTTTATTAATCAAATTTATTGATTTTGATGAACATTGCATTATGGCTTTTAAAGAAAATATATTGAATAGTGATAAATATGTAAAACTTATGAGATTAATTTTTGTTATGATTTACTATATGTCTCAATTTCTAATTTCTTATAAAATTGTTAAATAGTATAATCTAATTTTAAATATTTTATATGTGAAATAAAAATAAAATATAAGAGTAAATTTAAATATTTTTTATGTTTTTAAGAAATGTGAAATTTCTCCTACATTTTTAATAGTTAATATATAATTATTCATTAAAATTAATTAACATATTGACTTGTGGTTCATCTGTGGTTGACCCTCTAACCCATTGATCCGTCAAAGTGTTCGGTTCAATATACGGATTAGGTTCAAAAACATTGGTTTATACACATAATAACACAATAAGTTAACAGAAATATTATTATTAAATAATGCTCTAGATGCCTAAATACTATTACTCTAAAATTGTATTAACCATACCATGCCGGAGTTTCGAATTTTGAAATAATACCAGATGTTCTAATCTCAAAACCAAATACCATACTGTACCGGTTAGGTATAATTAAACAAAGAAACGTAACGTATCATATTTTAGAGGACTATTTTAGATGATACTTATTTATTGTAAAGTAAGAACGTGGAATAACAAGGGTCAACAAATTCATTTTTTTTTTGGTCAAAAACAAATTCATTTTGTAAAATTAATTTCTATGGTGGAATCCTATAGCATATTCTCATTATTGCTCCTTTTTTAATTAATTAATTACAGAATTGTTTTAGTATTTAGTTATTTTGTTTAGAAACAAAATCTAAAATGATTTATATCTATTTGCTGTCATTGTAATTAACAGGAAAAATTTTAATGAAATTTTGGACAGTAGCTAAATACAATTAAATGTGGTTGACAAATTGACATCATTAGATATACTAGAGACCTTTCCCGGGCTACGCCCGGGTTTTTCCCTCTATATTTTAATTTAGTTCAATTTATTATAAAGTATATTTGATTACATTTTCTATACTTAGATTAAATAATCTATATAAACTATGTAAAAGTTGAAAAATTTTTATATTGTTTTTGGTGATTAAGACTATAAAATTATTAAAATTCATTTTTAATATCAAAATACATATAAATTGGTAACCAATTAAATTAAGAAATATATTTCAAATTCAATTATTCTTTTAACTTGTTTATTTGAATTTTATGAAAATGTGGTTAAATTAACATATAATTCAAATTTATCTTTGAGTTTTGTTTAAATCACCATTATCAGAAAACATGAAACCCATGCTTCTTCTTAGATTCACCATCATCAAATCTTACATAAAGTTACGGATGTCCAACGATTTGACGTCTGGCATCTCCTCATCCTCGAATTCCTCCCTGAACAAAATCATTCACAAGTTCGTGTTATATTAAGCAAAGACTGAAGATGAGAACACGAACAAAAGGTAAAAAAAGACTTACTTCTTTTTCTGAGATTCCATTGCTTCAAGAGCATCACTCTTCAGCTCATCCAGCTGCGCTTTGGCAATGCTCAGCTCCAAGTTCTCCTCGTATTTAGGAAGATCTTCTTTCCTAATCCCAAGCCTGTTCAGATTAATGACATTATGCAAATTCATTAGCTCTAATATTCCAAGTAGTAACTTTTTTTTTATTCATGCTCAGTAATCAGTATGGGTGGTTGAAAAGTGTGATATTAACTCACTTTTTGTTGCCTTTTTCGAATTCTGCAACCAAAAGATCCATTCCTTTCTTGTGCTTCTCAAGAGAGGCTTCTCTCTATCCTTTTCAACTTTCTCCAAAGCCTCGGACATCATGGCCTCAGCACCTAACTCATCAGTAAGCCCCCTCCTGCAAGATACATATCACAAGTCAACACACAAGAATTAACTCAAGACTATCCAAAAGGGGGAATGAAACTATTTCAACAGTTACCTGGTGCGGATCTCCGTCAACTTCAAGAGGTAAGCACGAGCATCTGGGATCTCTTTAGTCTCGTTCTCAATATCATATTTGATGCGTTGAGATTCGGAGAACATGTATGCCTTGCAAACAAAGAGAACGCATAACAAACAAAACAAAAATTAGCAAAATAGGAAACATCCAGAGAAGGGTAACAAACACGAGGGCCTTACTTTTGCCTGATGGTCTTCATGACATTAGCATACTGTTTAACGGCAGTTGGGTCCTCAGGGTCAAGGGTGATCTTTTCCTTGCGGAGAATATCAACTGCAGCCTGAAATTTGTTCTTGATCTCCGTAAAGACACCCTTTAACATCTCTGTCCAAAAAAAAGTGTAAGACTTTAGTAGTAAATAATAGTAAAACAGCAATGCTCTCAGTTCTCAGTCTTAACACACACACACTACATATTTCACAAGATAATTCAACTTCATCACAAGATAACTTGTAGTACAACAGTCCTATCGATCACGGCCTGTGTTTCTCAATATTTATACAGCATTGACCAGAAAAAAGTGTTCTTCTTTAAGTACAATGCTCAGTTCTTCTACCACTTGTAATTTAACATTTTCTCTCAAAAGAATGAACGGCTAAACAAAAGAAAACAAATGTTTTCCTATAAGCAAACATAATGTTACATACCTTTAAATACAAATCAAAGATATATTAAAAAAATTGATCACAATAAGACTAACCCACTAAAACACAAGCACGTAAAACATATGAAGGATTCAAAAATACATACTTGCTCACACATAAGAATGTTAAAGACATGGCTTTTCCAAATCTTATGATAGTCGTGTTATACAGCAAAAGACTCCACCGAAGCCAATATCTTCCACAAAAGAGTTCCACCAACTAACGCCAGACTGAAAAAGAAGACCATGAAACTAATTTTCAATTTTTTTTTTCCTTTATTAATCTTCCACATTCGCCAATATTTTGAACTACATGTTCCTCATAATAAATTAGATGGAGAGTTCTGAGCAAATGGTTTAGAAAGCAAGCGAAGGAGAACCAGTGTGTACGCTTTGTACTATACCTGTGTAAGAAAAAAAAAAAAACAGTGGAATACAGTATCAAAGACTATTGACTTTCTTCAAAGATCAAAGGAAAACAAAAACCTAAAAAAAACAGTTGTTTTGTCTCATACTCCTCGCGAGCTTCCTCGTGAAATTAATCAGGCCAGCGAGGTCAAGAGAGAAATACAGAGCAGAGGATGAATAGCTAATAATAAATTGAAGTCGAAGTTGAGGGGAGGCAACGGTGATACCCAACAGTTGGACTCGGAAATGAAATTCCCGTCTCGTTGAGCGTTCTCGGAGGATGCGACAGTCTTCTTCTTGGTCTTTTCGCCGGTGGGGAGTGAAGATTTGACACTTGATTCCATCGGGATGAATGTGAGAGACGGTAGAGAATCGTATCAGTTAATCGAGACATAAGCTGAGAGGAGAGATCTATAAATACAAAAATATCAAGGAAGGTGAAAGGAGGAAACCATTTAATGAGAAGAAGCAGAGGATTGATTGCAATGAAGCCACGGATTGATTAGAGAAGAGAAGAAAAAGAAGCTCAGGAAGGCGAAAGGTATGAGAAGAACTTTTGTTTTCTTGATTTCTCCGCAAGATTAACCGATTATCACATTAGAAATAACCAAATACCAGAATAGAATATCGGACCGAAAACCAAAGCTGGTTACCAATCAGTAAACCGAAACCTACATGGCTGATTGGAGCACTACTATTGGTCAAATATATTTGTCTATGTGGACATGCTAAGAAGGCTTTATTAAGACCTTTTAATAGTGTTAGATTTAGGAATCACTTCCCTATTGCCCATAAACACCATTAAATAATAACCAGAAAACAATTTAGTAAATAATTATCTCTTAATTTGACCCTTTTACATTTGTATCTATTTAATGACTAGCATTAAGAGATGATGATGTTTAGTCTCACCTTTTAGCTTCTTCTGCTCAACGTTGGTTGAGCCAACTCCTTTCTCTCTTCCTTCTCTCTCAAAAGATACTGAGAAATTATATCAGATGCTCTTGCAATGGTAATTCATTCAAAGGAGAAGAAGGAACAAGTTCAACAACAGCAGCAGCAGCAGAATCTTGACCCTGAGAATCCTGAAGCTGAATCTTCTAGATGCTTTTGCTCTGCCTTCTCGCGTCTGTTTAGTCTAACATGTGTCATCTTTTTGGTCTTTAGCTTTGCGACTCTCTTTTCAGGGATCTTCTGGTTATTCCCTCGTCGATCGCTGCCTAGACATCATTCCAGTGATATAGTTCATATCAATGGTAAGCCTCTCTCAACACAAGTTTACTGTTCCCTCAGTTTTGTTTTTATTTATTTATTTAAAGGTAGAGACTTTTAAGTACATAAAGCATCAGCAACCGTGAGAAAAATGGTATTTCGAATTTAGTAAAGATATTTCAGATTTAAAAAAAAAAAGACTTCACGGGCTGCTACGTGCCATGGAGACCCGCAAATAGTGTAAGGATTCGCTAAGAAACAATTTTTATTTAAGGATTTTAAAGATCGAATCCTTAACTTTGTGGGATCTAATAATTATGTAATTGTTTTTTTCTTAAGTACTCATCCCTAAAGACTCCCTTTGGAGGTGTTCTAAACTATCTCTTGTTTAGGTCTCACTAGTCTTACAAACATGGTGAAGCAGTTTCACTATGTTTTATTTATTTATTTATAGTTTCTGCTTTAATAAGAGCCTTAAAGGTGGAGACTTTAAGTACATAAGCTATCTCAGGTTGTTGTAGTCTCACTAGTCTTACAAACAGTAGTAAATTTCCTTCCTAGTGTGATCACATTTTAACCGGTGAAAGATCTTATATGAGACACTATATCTCAATGCTCTAAGTTCCTTAAATGTCTTACATTTTCATCTTCTTTGTCTGAAACCAGCATCAGTACAAGCATGCTTTAGACTTCATAAACCAACTTCTGAGCTCATTTCAAAAAAAGGAAAACTAGAGAGGGACATCTTTTCAAGTATAGATCTCAGGAACAACACCAAGGTATATTTATTTATATTCTTTGCTTCAAAACTTATGCAGTTTACACATGTTTGGAGCTCTAATACCTAGTTATTGTTTGAACAGGTGACTGTTCTGTCTCTGAATCAATCAGATGAATCTAACTTCACTGATGTCAAGTTTGGAGTTCTGTCTGTCCATACTAACCATACAATGAGAAAAGACTCGTTAACTTCACTGCGATCTTCTTTTGTTAACCTCTTTGCTCAAAGGTCTAATCTGAACCTGACCACATCAGCTTTCGGGGAGCCAACATCTTTTCAGGTTTTGAAGTTCCCTGGTGGAATAACTGTAGATCCTCTGGGGCTAGAACCCGTCTCTGGATTACTAGAGCTTCTCTTTAGCTTCACCTTAGACTTCTCCTTGTCAGAGATACAAGAAAAAGTGGACCTGCTAAAGAATCAGCTTGAGCTTGTGTTGCATTTGGAGCTGTTTGAGAGTTTTCGTGTAGTTCTCACGAATCATGAAGGATCTACAGTATCTCCTCCTGTAACTGTTAAGGGTTGTGTTGTCTTAACCATGACAACTATGGAAAGCCATATTCAGGAGAGATTCGACCATCTTGCTCAGCCCCCTGCTAAAAACTTTGGTCTAGACAACTCAGTCTTTGGTGAAGTCAAGGGTATTACTTACACAACTTACCCTGAGGGCAAAGTTCTTGATTCTGATTCGGTGTTGGCGCCAACGCCAACCTATTGACATGAAGCTTCTTACCAAACTTGGCAAAAAGCAGTTTTCTCTTTTCCCTTTTTAGTTATCTAAATATCTTAATTGGCAAAGAGGAAAACTTGTGTGAATGTTTCCTTGTCTTAATAGCTAAGTAGCGGCAACAAAATGTATAAATAAAAGATTGGTGACTTGTTAAGGCTAACAACTTCACCACCTTTCTTCTAAGTGATCTCTGGCAGTATCTTCTTAGCTTTAGAACTAAACTGTCTTATAGAGGTTGTATTATGAAACAGAGTTCTTCATTCTAATGAGATGCAAGCTTGAGTTTACTTGTTACTGTGCTTTTATTAAGTTGCTTGAAACAATACAAAAGAGAGAACTTCATTTTCTACCTATGGTTGGTTTGTTACAAATAGAATATTGCAAGGTTCTTTATATTGATTTAGCTCATTTTCTAACTTCTTGATTACTTCATCTTTCTCTGCAAGAGTCTCTAGTAATCTTCTATTCTCTTTACTAAGATCTTGAAACTGGTTGATGATTCCATTTATCTGCACTTCAATGGCTTCATCACTAAGCTCGAAAGCAGTCTCTACAACCCTCAAAACTCGCCACAAGCTCACCACCACAATGAAACCTGTCCCTTTCCTGTCAAGAAACACCTGGAGAATCAGAGCTATGATGGCAATTGCACCATCCATCACACAGCCAGGTTGTCTGAAAAACGATTTCCCCATAGCAACAGCTAGAGCCATGGATTTAATGGCGAGAATGCTCAGAATGGCGGTTCCTCCCCAACGGAACCATTCATCCTTGTTTTCGGTTTTGTTGACTGATGTGCAGGAGAGCAGAGAGGAAGATAGTTCAAGGGACATTAAGATAATGTCTAGAGAGAGCAAGAAGATGGTCAAAAGGTGAACTTGGTATGACTCAAGAAACTCAGATAAAGTGATTCTCCACTGTGGTTCTATGGAGGTGAGATCTTGTTGATGTTTTCTTGAGGAGAAGAGGCAAAGTTGTCGCCATTTTTGCCGTCTGCACCAACTTTTGATTAGGTTTTGGATTGAGAATTCGACATTTTCAAGTGTTTCGGTGTTGATGGAAGTCATGGAAAGATGAAAAGCTGTGGCAAGTTGTAGGTATAATGAGCGTTGAAGGAAGGCAATCATTTTTAATGAGATGAGAAAATCCAGGTTTTTTGGGAAAGATTACTTGAAAGGAAAGTAAGCTTTGAGATATGATGCAAGTTACCTTTTTAAGGGACGATGATAGAAAAGCCTAGTTTACTCCTGTTGACATGGTTTCATATAATTTTATGGGAAACTACAAATGGTACATTTTAAATACTGTTACAAAAAATTACCTGAACGAGGATAAGTATTACACATACTAAACTCAGAAGAACTATTCATTATACTAATTTAAGCATCAGCATGATTACAGCAAAGGGCTTTAGAGTTCCATCATCCCATGCCAGAACTCTTTTATAAATTTCAAGGAATCTTATGTTCTAGTGAAGGCCAAGGAGTTTTTACCTTGGCCTCACGCGGCCTGTAGTTCATTCTTCTCAGAGCACAAGTATTCTGCTAGTGCCGGTTGTCAAATCTCGTGTGTGTTCTGGAGCGGTGTCTGCAGTTGATAAACTCTTGTGCGTCTGTGTCATATCGATCACGAAACATTTCCACTTACCATGTACTTGTGCTATTTTCTTTAGCATCCGTCAAAATCCAGCTTTCCCCATCAAATTCTCGGCTCTTGCTTTAGGTGGATGCTTGGTTGAGTGGTGTATGATATTGGCTGTGAGACAAGGAAAACAATACGTTTAAAATCAAACCTGACCACCTCCCAAGAGAAATTTCTCAGTGATTGATAAACTATAGGACATTTATGGTTTCTGTGTGTTTTCCTTTAAGTATATTTTCACTTAAAACTTTCCTTCCCTAGATTTATCCTGCTAAGGCATCTAATTCAGTTCCTCAGTATTAGATGCATAGACAAAGAATATGCTCAAGAATAAAGCAATGTATATAGATTATATCAAACTCTTTAGCCCTTCTAGGGTCATGAAGCTATGAATATTTAAGGTTACACAGAGAACTTTCATTAGCTTCATCTTTCCATCCCCACAATAGTTCTCTTAGGTAACACTAAGGAGTTTTGACCCATTAAATCAACATAAAGTTTACCTGTGTTGTACTCGAAAATAAACGGTTGGCAAGATCATCGTTAATTGCAACAGGTAGAGGCAGCATCCGACTCATGATACCAGGCATCTCCTTCATGCTACAGCAAAAACCTAAGAGTTTAGCAACTGAAGTTTTATTCATAGAAAGGAAACGAAGACACATGTCATGTCTAACTGTAAGAAAAACTTATATCTGCTATTAGATTCACATACTCAGTCAGAATGGCGTTGATGTTATTTCTTGCCTGATAAAGAAGATTGATGTTATCCTGCAGCTATTTAGACAAAGTTGGATTTGTTTGTGAATTCCATTGCAAAACGATAACATGGAAACCGGACGAAACAGTACTAAATTATTTAAAAAGCAACTGATCATGTAGAATATCTGGTATACTATGTTCAACCTACCTTGTACGCAGAGAGGTTGTAAGAAATTTGACTAAAAGCTTGAGCGTTTTGCTGTAGACGACCCATTACTGCGTCACTTAGACCTGAGAGGAAGAGTGTAATAAATGTACCAAACTGACAATGCTGTTCTTTTTATTTTTAAGACAACACAACCCAGTAGAAAGCAAGGAATTAAAAGAGTACTACACCTTCAAAAGGCATATGTGTACTGTGACGCATATTGTTCATGACATATAAAGCATTTTGTTGTGGCACATTGGCTAGCATGTTCAGTTCTGGGGATGTATCCACCACCTTACCATGAAGAAGCATGGTCTTTAGAACCAAGTTCAAAAGCATATTGATTGACAGAGTTTTATATGATCCAATCAAAATAATGTGCACGATATGAAACACACATGAGACAAAAACACATAATAAATTTACCCCTTTATCAAATGCCCTAAACCCACAAGCCTAGATACTGATTGGTGCTGTGCTACTACCTCTCCTTAGTTGAATCCTCATTAGTCTATCGCCCATCATTTATTGCAAATTAGATCACAAACTTAAATGAATGTAAACATTCATGCACAATGAAAACCCATCGTGGTATCTTTTTCTTTAATCAATACTAACTAATACGCTTATGCTCCCACTAGGCCACTTACTTTCAAAAATTTATTAGATTTTAACTTACTTTAGACACACGAAAAGCTTAGGTGGGCAAGCCTACCTTTCTATTGCTAATGTTCTTCCCAACACCATTTTCTTCTCTTTTTCTTCGTTTTCGCTGTGATATTAAAAGCGCGTCTTAGCCAACAAAGTTAGAGATAATGATAAATCTCTAATGGAAGATAAAATAAAGCAAACAAGCACTAATGAATATCAAAAAGGAGGACTTTTGGAACTTTCCGTTTGATTGCATCATATTATCTAAATTGAAGACTCGCAGGATAAAAACATGAGCGAGATGTCAACATAATGATGACAACAGATATATTTCATTAAATCATTTTTCTTCACTTTATTATGCAAACATGTAGCATTATGATGTAACCGTTAAAAGGAAATCTCCTGTCGTAGAAGGTGTTATAACATCTAGTCAAAAATAATAGATGCCAAAATAAATCTCCTATAAACAGCAAAAAAGTATAGGGATTCTTGTCATAGGAGCACTATCTATTTCAGGATAGTTACAGAAATCGTTTTTGAAAAGCTTTAGGCTTATTTCCTTTTCAAAAAAATTCCCTCCACAATCATGGACTCCAAAGCTAATATAAAGACAGGTCTAACGCGTCAGCAAAACTTGTCATTTTCACTTTTTGGCTCATCCTTTACTAGACTTTAAACAAAATTTACGACATGGCAGGGTGGCTTTTCTTCAATAAAAACGTATAGCTTTTTTGTAGGTCTTTATCTTTATCACAAAGCAGACGCAAAGTTGCATCATCATGCTGATTGATTCCTTCATATTTAGCATATGCTTTTTAAAATATCCCTCGGATTACTTACTTTCATGACAGCCACATACCATTCGAAAAAACGGAATACTAGAAACTTCTAATTAATTCTCTCGCAGTAAGAAATATCCTTGGTAAGAAGTCTAGAATCTAAAGTGGTAAATTTTCTACTCATATAAGCAAAAGCACATGATGTATGCAGTGAACACAGTTCAAGGAAACGTAACCTGAAACACACAAGAGCATAACAAACTTACCGTCATCCATCTACACCTCAATGCTACATCCCTTACAGTTTTATCTGGCAGAGCTGCAGCGATCTTTACATACTTTGAAACTTTCGGTTCATCTTTTAATCTACAAACGGGGAAAAAGATAAAGTTGTCATGCCATGGAAACCAACAACCCAACATAACATAAGAGAATCGATGTCTAGGAAAAGACTCGCTTAGAGGAGCAACCTGAAATGACCAATCATCCCAAATCCACTGATAACAAATATGCATTGTTTTTAAATTTCAAAGGGTAACACTTTATAATCCCAAGGAACAAAGGAACATACTTTTAATACTCCATCATGGAGAAGAATATAATGTGACCACTAAATTCTCATAAAAACAATTCCCCATTTTAAAAACCTTTTTGATCATAGTACGAAAAAGCTAAAGAATAATAAAATAAAAATAAAAATTGCATTTGCAAAATGGAAGGAAAAATCCAAAAGATACATACTTTGCAAGACCGTTCTCCAAAATATACTGCTCCTCAAGGGACCAATCCATGACCAAAGCAGCTTCAGGTTTTATACCGTAATTCGCCGGAAATACAAGACCGGTGGTGCTAGTGCTCGGCGGCACAGAGTGATTATTCATCGGGGAAGGGGGCTATTGAATGAGACTGATTAGCTATTCAAAACACATCGAGTTTTAGGGATTTTAGCTATTCAAAAGATTAAGCAATAGAGATTTGAGTAAGCAAATGAAAGAATAAACCTTTTGGTGGAGCATGAGATGTGCGAATTCACTGGAAGCTATAGATAGCCTTCGATGAGTGCCCTAATTCGCACCGGTGGTGTCAGAATTAGAGATGCAAAGAGAGACGGCTGCAAACACCGCTTGAGATACTCCGGCGAGCAGCTGAAACTGAGGGTTGGGAGAGACGATGAGGGGAGAATAAGAACAGAGAGTGAGAGCAAATTGAACACTCCAATGGAAGAAAATCGAGCAAGGAGAGAGAGAGAGTGAAGTAAGTAGCAAAAGTGTTTGGTTTTTGTTTTGTTCTTTTGTTTTTGCACAAGTACTCTGTCTTGTTGTCTTCATATGTCTTGCTCTCTTTATTTATTTATTTATTTATTTGGCCTGTTTTTTTTTTTTTTATCTTTTGCTTTAGTCATGAAAACTGGACAAGTAAATAAGTGATAGAGGTTTTGTTATAAAAAAAAAGTGATAGTTTTTCTACCATTTTTATATTTATTCTTTTTTATAAATTGATTAGGTTCCTACAATTTTTATGTATAAACCAATGACCTTTGGGTTTGGAGATATCTAGGGCATCAATATCTAGATACTAGATATCAATCTAGATTTGATTCAAGATCTTCGCATATTTGTTAAAAAAAAAAAAATTCATTATTCGATTGTAACTAATATCTATAGGCCAAATTTCCTCTATAAGTAGTGGTGGTGGCCATCAATTACACACATTACGTCTATTTTAAAAACAAAATTCAATGTTTCAAGTTATGTATTTTACAAAAGAAAATCATCTTCGCAGTTCTAAATTTATATAATATAGTTTGACAAATATCACAAGCATTAGTTTTTTTTTGTATTTATACAGTTATCTTTTTGTAGTGAAGTAATTATACATTTTTCCTTGAGAAGGTTTTTAGGATGAACTTCCCCTTTGAACATAGCAGGAACCAAAAAGGCAGAGAATCTACTACCAATGAAGCCTGAAGCTTGCTCCTTGCATCAGCGGGTGAGCAAAATAGGCTCCAACTGTTAACACCGTGATTGCAACATAAGGCAACCTAACAAACTCTTTGTAGTAATCCTCAGGCAAAACTTGGCGTCCTTCAATAATTGCAGCAAATGGAATCACACTCGTTCTCTTCTTGATACCTTCAAAAGCATCTCCGTATCTCTTAGCTAATCTCCTGTCTCCATTCCACGCTCCAAATAAATGGTGAGCAATCAAACCCAGAGACGCCGATGCAGCTACTGTGTTTCCAATCCAGAGAGTATGTGCCAAACACCAAATGATTTGTCCAACCATCTGGAGAAGAAACAGCAACCATTAACTCTCATCAACACAGCTACTAAATTAATATCTCCTCGTTCTTTGAAGACTGATAAAGAAATCAACAAATCCAACAACTATAGCTTCAAAAAAAACTACCTTTCTACACATTGTTAAGTGTTTTCCAAACTCATGATGAAGAAATTGGATTCAAGTTACAGATCAAATGCAATATCGAGTAATCAAGTATTTGTGGGCCATTACAGTCACTATGGAACATAAGTTGAAGAGAGAACTAAACAAAAACTAAAGATCCAATCTTTATGTATATTGCCATCTTTATGAAACACGAAAAAGAAGGAAACACAGTACAGACTGTGTACTTATGCATAGGCACATTAGTGTGATAACCAAATTACCTGAGGATGACGAGTGATTCTCATGATACCAGTCTCCCACAGATGCATCTTCGGTTTATCAACAGCTGCAACCTCCAGAAGATTAAACGTTGAAGGATACAAAAAGAAGAAAGACACAAAATTAGCGACCCAAATTGCTTCATGTACTCCCGGAACACCCTGAAGCTGCCATAACTGTGACCCATCGTACCTATGGTTTATAAAGAAAACCTGAAACCATGCATTGACCACACAACAAAGAGTCACCAAAACCAATCTTAAAGAAGTCAAAACATGTAAGAGAGTAAGTAAACTACTCACAATAGTGCTCATAGCTAAAGGAAGAGAGACACCAGCAAACAGAACACGAAACGCTCTTTCACCTATGAGTTTCTCTCCTACATCTCTAAGACTCGCTAATCCACTATGCACAGTTGCGAAGATAAAGATAAGCATTAACATCGCCACCTGTCAAAAAAACAGAGTCCGTTACCGTCAAGTAACGGAAAAAAAAATTTGTTCAGTTACTTTTAATCTTTATATACCTCAGGTGAGCCGGAGATGGTGGAGACGGCGTCGATGTATGATTTACCGAAACCGGTGGAGTTATCGATCCAAACTAAGTTGAGGATGAAGAGGACGACGCCGAGGATAACGCCGAAGTAGACCCAGGAGATGAGCTTTTGTTTGCCTAATTCAAAAGCTGCAGAGTCTTCTCCGATTAGAAGAGTTGGAAGCTCGGAGTCTGGAGAGACGGGGTCTTCTCGGAGAGTGCTGCGGACGAGAATTTTTCGAATTGATAGTGAGGAGAAAGAAGGCGAGGTGGGGGATTTTGTGAGACGAAGGGGAGATGGTGTCCGGCGGGTTAAGGTGGAGTTAGGTCGGCGAAGGGGGAGGATAAGCGAAGGAGAGCTTGAGAGGAGGAGATGATAAACCGCCATTGTTGTTGTTTGTGTTGGGTGAGAGAGCTCTTTCGAGGAAGAAGCAATTAGACGATGTCGTTTTAATGCGCCTCTACGCGGATTTTTTATTTATTTCAGCAGCACTCTTCATTTTTTATTTATTGTTAATTGCTAGTGCTTAGTTTAATCAAACACTATTAAAAGTAGCAAAAGAAGCCATCTTACACTGCCACGTCGACAGAAATAATTAGCCAATGGGAGTGTTTAAAACAAACCAGTTTCAATTTTGGTTCTGTACGAGATTCTAATGTCATGGTTACACCGGTTTGGTCTCACCGGTTACATCTTTAGTCGGCAAACACTCTAGCTCCTCTCTCACCTTTC